AGAGACTATCCTTACCCCGTACGGAACTACTAGCAGCCCTATAGTCTAATGTTAGCTAGAACGCGATAGAAGACGCTAGAATAGGACATACAGCTTAATCTTACCTATAAACACGACAATTCTAAACCGGAGGTCCTTAACCGCATTCCGATCGGGTACGGAGGTGCGATTACCGTATAGAGCGGTAATCTCGGACTRTAGTACGGTCTATTTATCCTTCTTATCGAGGGGGAGCTAGACCGGTTAGCGACAGACTACGCTAGAACAACGCTAGAAGGACCTACCTAGAGACAGTCGGCGTTCTTATTACTAAGGTAGGCGCTACACTTAGGAGTAATACCCTTACTAGGTTTAGATGCGGCGACCTAGTAGATTATAGTAAGATCTAAGCCAGACTTAAGGTCGGAGAGGCAACGCTAGTACGGATTACCGTTATAGGGGCTATTCTTAACTAGGCGGATATAGTTCTAGCGCACGACGTCGGTAGCGGATATAATAGGGGACAGTCTACGATAAAGTTAGCTAAAAGGTCTCTAAAGGACACCGTATAGAGCAAGCTAGCGCTAGATAGCGCTAGAATAAGCTAGAAGCCACCCGCTAAAATTCTAGAGGAAAACATACCGGAAGGAGGTTAATAAAAAGATAAAGTCTTAAATCCGCTAAAAGTTTTCTTTTATAGGAATTTCCGTATAACACCCCGGACCCCTCTTTTCCTCTACTCTCTACACCCTACCTTTTCGCGCCTATAGTTAGGCGTATAGGGGGGAGGGGGGCTATATAAGGCCCACCGCCTTACAGTATTACTAAATAGTCTAGAATAGGTTAGACTATTCACCCTAACCCYACCTTTTACATGCCTGTCCTAGGCTAAACCGGATACGCGCGGAAGGAATTATAGTAGATAGAGGAAAGGCTATACGCCTCCTAGCTAGCTCTGTATTAATTCGAGTCGTCTTATATTAAAGTCGTACGTTTTCGTATTAGCCTACGTATCTTACACAAACCTAACAACTCCTATATATAGTAATAGCTAATAAAGTCCGTAGGCGCCGCTTATACGAACTAGTCCGTAAGGTCTACCTAGTAGGGGCGTATAATAGATCCTCTCGATTTACGCGCCGTCGAGGTATCTATACTACGCCTAGGCCGGACTATTATTAGAGTATAGATGCTTACTATAAGCTAGAGGACTATAGATTTCAA